CTTAGAACTCATATCTTAAGGTGGGTGACGGCATTTACGTCGTAGATGTATATGGGCTCCGGTAAACCAGGCGGGCTGTGAGCTCGTCCATCCATTTACGCAATAAATGAATAAAAATACCATTATACAATTATTAATTATATAAGGATTATGTATGTATTGACAAAAATATGTGTTTTATTTTAATTTTAAAGCATTCATATTTTAAAGCAGTTTGGTTAAACCTTTACTGTACATTTCCCGTACTTTTCAAAAAAACAGGGTCTAGTAATTAAAACTACATTATCTTTATGATATTATTATGTTTCTTTAAAGAGAAATTAATCTTCATTTATTCTCTACCGCTATGTTTATCTTATTGAAATATAGTTATTGAGAATTAGTTTCCGAGCCTTCACGAGGACCGTCTAAAACACAAAAGCGAAACTTTAATTCTTTATATACATCATCCAAAAAGATCCTTACATAGTTGATCTCAAGAGAAAACAGTTCCATATAATTTATTCCATCGGCGGTCAGAGGTAGAACCGTTATTCAGAGAGGAACGTGAGATTGGAATGAATGTACCCACATGAACAGACTTAATTACGACCGCACCTTCGGCTTTAATTAGTTCCCAGCTTTCTTATCGGTCTAACAGACTAGACGGTTCTAAGTGTGAAATTATGAAGGTACCAAGGTAAGACGTTTGCTAACCGTTAATGGTGCGAACGATGAAAACGAGGACACAGCATCGCCAGAGACTTTGATTTGAGAAGACGTTCAAGTCTGATGCACTTATTGGGGAATTCATACTTCACGTTCATCTTCGTCTAGCTTTTTTATTTTTATTGCGGTTGACTTGGATTAGGTTATCGGGACGAGCTCACAGCCCACCTGGTGTTAAGTGGTTACTGGAGCACATAGACATCTACAACGTAAATGCGCCACCCACCTTGAGGTATAAGTTCTAAGGTCTCAAGTATAGTTACAACGTCTGCCCCACCCTTCAAGCCGAAACACATTACTTCTTGACGGCAGAAATAGGTAGGGTGGTGTTACCTACCCGCGCGGACTCACAAGAGGTCCTACCACCAGTAAGGATGCTAGGATGTTTCCTTTAGAAACATTGTATGAACTTACACGTAAAAAAGATTATCAGGATTTTTGTATTCACGTGAGACGAAGATCGGGCCAGTTTATTTTCCAAAATAAAATTAATTTAATCTCCTACAGTTTTAATTAAAAAGGTCCTTGAAACATCATATTTTTATGTTGCTTTAGTTGAGCGAATGATACCCACATTAGTTATCTGATATACCTAATCATAGCAAGTAAATTATATTAGCTTGACAATGTTGCTCTGAATTATGTAATGTTTTATTACAGTGGAGTGAAGAGCGGTTTCTCTCAAGCCTCGCTACCTAAGTGAATTGGACTTAGCAATCATAATACACTAATGTAATACTTGGACGCCATTTATGTCACTCACGGAAGAGAAGGGGTGATGCTAATCAAAGCGTAGCTAAAGGTAAACTTCTGAAGTGGTCAAGTGGTTTTGTCATTTCTCTTTGAGCAAAAATCGATTATCGATTATTAATTTAAATATTATTAATTAAACAATATTAATAACATTATTAATAATTATTAAGTTTTTTAAATAGTGTTTTTCAGAAATTGTATATTTAATCTTTATTTATATTTTATAATTAATAATAAGATTCTAATAAATATAGTATAAATAATATTAATAAATATGAATGATATTAATAATTTAATTGATTTAACTTAATTTTCAAAAACCAGCAGCACAAAAATTCCAGTGCGGTTGAATACTGACATTTAGCTGACATTATAATAAAAACTTTCACTATATTTTTGAGCTTTTCGTGGCGTGGGTTTGCTCGTGAGCAGCTAGCTACCCTAGTCGAATTTCTTTTACGACTTTTCATTTTAAATTGAAGTAATTTGAGAAGGAAAAAATGTAGCGTCTTATCGCACCCACAAAAAATGTGATGTTCACGAAAGAAATAGGCAATTACGAAATATTGCTTTTTATCTTGAATTCATCAGTGTGTTTGATACGTTAAAATTGATGAGAGGATCTTGTTTGATAAAAATAAGTTTGGCACAAAGTAGGATTTTCCCTTAGTGGATGTATAAACACGCATACTATACAAGAAAAAATACACTTTAACAAGAAATATATATGTATCACAATACATCTTAATATATATATATTACATGTCATGTTGTTTGTCCGCGATGGAAACCTAAATTACTGAACCGATTGAATTTTTTTTTTTTTTAAATATGTGTTTTGTTCCAACTTAGGCCATAGGAAGGTTTTTATTTCGATTAATGGTCGCAATATTTATTAATTAACAATAGAATGATTTCTTATATTGATTATTTTTATTAATTGTAAGTTTTATAAGTCTAAAACCGATGGCGCCTTAAATCAGTTTTTACAGACGATTGTAATACTGTCTGACATTAATATCTAACATAGATGGCGCTGTGTTAATAATACCAACGTTTCACATAAGCCACCATTTAATGGCATAATCACCACGTGTTGCTGGGGCTAAAGTATAAGTGAAATTTATTTCGTAGTAAACGCAATACAGTCAAATCCAATTGTTCTTACTTTGTTAATTTTTGGTATTGTATTAGCATAGCCGGCCACGTGTTATTTCGAAACAAAAACTTTAGCCACAGCAACGTGTGGCCGGGTCTGCTAGTAATAATATATATTTCACAGGGTTGAGCCGGGCGGTACGTCAGAAATGACCTTATCGCCCTGGGTGTGGAGTCGCGCAGGAGTTCGTGATTAGGCTCGCCCGTAGCATGTACGAACGAGCCGAAAACATCCCCAAGGAGCATCTCCACAACATTGCCTCGATGCACGCCAGACTTTTGGCTCCCCCGACGATCGTTCGGATATCCATAATCAACAATAGCAACAATGCATAAGTCCTAAATTTCGCGGGTGATTCTTCAAAAAATATTATCATTAAAGTAAATCGAATTTGTAGAAGCTCTTATTAAAAGGCATTCAGATTTGTAATAATTTTACAATAAAACAATTACCCGGTTATTTCGAAGTATTTAACTGAACGCATTGATAATATTAACAGGCATTACGAACACGACAGCCAAATATTGTTTGCGGGGGTTTTCCGACCGGAACAATGAATCCTCCTGGTTCGTAACTAAGTAAATAAATTAATTAACGTTACATCGTGTTTGTGCCAGCTCTGTGAATTTTTGATGCGCCACAGAGCAAGATTTATGTTTGAGCACTGGAGATTTATTGTGTACAATTAAACCTGTTTCGGGTTTTCAAGAAGATAATTTAAGCTTACAAACATATTAATAAATCCTGTGTGAACCCAGCATCTTGAGATTTTTCTTCTTTATCATTTGTCTGTAGTAGTAGATTACTTACCTAATTTACTAACTTAACCCTTAATAGTAGAAGCATAAATTCAGAACTATTATTTACTACAATAATTTCGAAATTTTTTCAAGTGTTCTTTTTATTATAAATCCGAATTTCTTTTTGAAATGTTAATTTTCACGAGCTTAAATTTGTAGCCGCGTTAATGTTTTAAGTTCACGTACCAATTCTTTTGTGGATTTCTCAATTATTATAATACCTCTCTACCATTCGTGGAACACACTACAAAATCTACTATATATCTGTTTAATCAAGTAAAATGACATCATGTGTCAATATACGTAACCCCACACGCATTGGATTGAAATCGATTGAGGAAATTGAAACAGAGTAGAAATTTAAAGCTATCTCACTGAATTGAAGAAGTCTGTACAATTAAGACTTTAATTTTAAAGTTGTTTAGGTATTAGCTTATTATCTGTTTGTAAATGTAAAAAATTAGAGAAAATGGAAAAGATATTTGCTATACAAACACCATGATAATAACATCAGAGCAAACACACACATAGAAAACATCAAAGTAAACAAAATTAAAATATTATAGTTTTTCGCATGTATTCACTGATTATGCTATTATTTAGACCACTAACTCAATGCTGTTGGGACTTTAGTTTTAATTCTCGTGATGGTCATCGACAAAGGCGCCGTCGCCGCGTCAGTTTGTCTGACCATCTTAGTAAATAATAAAAAAACAATTATTTTAACAAAAAAAGAAACCGCCTTTGACAAAATGAGATGAAACTAGCAACAATATAGTCCAAAGAAATTAAATAATGGATTATTGGGGATAACTCAAAAACTACTTATCAGATTTTGATTGACTTTAAATGCGACCACATGAAAAGCACCATATTTCAAATAAAATGAGAATAATCTTAATCGGTCCACCTAGAAAAAGATTGTGAGGTAACAGAAATAAATAAAAATAGATACAAATCAAAAATATGTGAATGAAGCTCATTAATTATATTTAACTTTCCCGCGCATCAGCTTCGCCTATCATAATAGTATTATCTATGGTGGAAGCTATGTTCATTCTATAATTGGATTTACTCTCTGGCTTTGTACATTCACAAATATAACATGCTTTCTTAATAGATTAAAAAAACTTGCAGCTTTCAAAAAAGGTCTAAATATTGAAGCAATAGCTTTCAATGTTGTTTCTCTTTGCAGGTTCGAAAATAATTATAACAATTGTAAGTGTAGAAATAAGTTAATAAAATAATAATAATAATAAACTCTTTGCAGAGCAAAAACTTGGTTCTTTGTTTCATTACAACACATTACAAATATATACATTACTAGCGACCCGCTCTCGCTTCGCTTCGGAAACTGTAATTTATTATTGATTTCTCCACTATTTAATGGATGTTATTATACATATAAACCTTACTCTTCAATCACTCTATCTATTAAAAAAAACCGCATCAAAATCCGTTTCGTATTTTTAAAGATTTAAGCATACATAGGGACAGACAGATATAGGGACAGAGAAAGCGACTTTGTTTTATACTATGTAGTGATATCAATAGTATTAACAGTTGCAAACGAAACAAACCTTCAATACTCTAACGACATCCTGAGGAAACTGCATAAGAGCGGTACTGGTGACCCGGCGATAGATTCTGTCGACGAATATTCCGGCACGTATCGCATGGGCCACCGACCGGAACTTTGGCTTCTCGTCCGACTTCCGTTTGGCGGTCGCCAGCTGTCTCGTGAATGTCGACGCCAGCCATTCGCGAACCTCAGGGGGCACTGCATCAGGCTGTACCTCAGAGAGCTCGTCATCTTCATCAGCTAATCGTCTGCGTATAACAGGAATTTTAATCAGAACCCACATAAGTTTGCTAAAAGTTTAAAGCTAGCCCCGGCATAAGCTTCGGACATTCAGCGACTTAGTTTTTGTCCTAAGCCAAACAGTTCACTTACAAAATTGAAATTGTTAGGCACAAGTTCAAATTGTATATAATTCAATTGCAATTATAAAATAATTAAACACAGTATATTGAAGCCGGTTTCAAACTTTACCTGCAATTTGTTCTAAACATTGCGGTTGCGACTTACACAAGTTAATTAGTTCTGTGGAACTCCGCATCATACGCTCGAGGTGAAATTAAAGTGCAAAATTATTTCTAACTCTCTGCAACTACCTCATACAATGTTGGTTCATTTAACTTTATCCTATCGCTAACTACGTCTAAAATATCTATGACCTGGGATAATTAATGGATAATTAACTCTAAGATTTAAAAAATATTATCATTATGATGTTTTATGTTTTTAGGTGATGTTTGTTTGATTAATGTTATCTAAATATTAAATATGTTTTGGTCGCACTAAATCCTCCCTTTTGTTTTACTATAATAATAATAGTAATAAAACACAAATTTTAAACCCTAAAAAGTGAAATTAAGTCCAAAGTGAAATTAAGTTATTTGGGTAAGTAAACAAAAATGTGAAATAAACAATTACAAACAGGTTTGTTGGGATTCATGCAGTAACATTTTAAGCACTTCGCTTTGTATGTCACTTGTGACATGCAACGTGCACGGCTAACCCTTAGGGATTTGATGTACATTGCTTTCCATTAAAATCAAATACAAATAACACTCTAATGGTATGATATATTCAATACTTCTGTAATCATATGCTCGGCCAACATGAACTATATCGTTATAAATAACCTCCGCTACAGATAATTTGAAGAAATATAGATTAAAACTCTTATTACATTTACACTGATAGGTAAGGAAGGAAACCACTTCCGAAACTAAAAGGGCGTATTTACCATCGTATCACAAACGAATAAGAGTGTTTAATTTTATAGTAGGAACCTAAACCTCATCGCTAGTAAATTGAAATTTCAAGAGCTCTAAATGTGTATAGCTTTTTTTATGATTGAAGGATTACTGGTGGCCCGGAGGCCTTTCCAGTTTCACCAGGACAGGTGGGCGAGCAAAGGCTCAGCCAGGAGGGGTGGGATTTGCTAACAGCTACCCGAGCGCCTCCGAAGGAGACCTAACAACTCAAGAGCAGCTGCTTCGCGAATGAATCTACTACCGGATCGGAATCGCGACCCGCTGAGAAGATCCNGGAGGCCTTTCCAGTTTCACCAGGACAGGTGGGCGAGCAAAGGCTCAGCCAGGAGGGGTGGGATTTGCTAACAGCTACCCGAGCGCCTCCGAAGGAGACCTAACAACTCAAGAGCAGCTGCTTCGCGAATGAATCTACTACCGGATCGGAATCGCGACCCGCTGAGAAGATCCGGCGAGAAACTCAGCGAGCTGATTCATGGATTAGGTTGCACGGCGAATTCTTTGTCCAGTTCGACGAGTACGGTTACCGGGGTCCCTAAGCCTGCTCCTAGTGTTAGAGCTGAAGGCGTCTAATGCAAAAGTTATTGGATCTGATGGATCCGTAAGGACGTGTCTAGGGTGACTGGCTCCTGCGTGATCAGGATTCGGGGAGTAGTCAGCGGCGGCAACGATAAGGCGATTATCATGACGATGAGTATAGCTGATACTCGTATGCTTGTATGTACAAGAGATCTGTCGATACGCGTGATCGAATTTTTAAAATTTCATTGCATTTATGTTCTCTTTAGTTTCTTTAGTGTCAAATAAATTAAACTCTACTTTAAACTCTTTAACAATGACAGTAGTAAATAATAAGTGACAAATTATAAGATTGCCTCTCATTAGGGATACAAAGTGATATATACATACGGGTACTTATATGAGGATAAACAGGCAAATGTATAAATATTATACACTTAGACATATCATCATCATCATCATCATTATCCTGCCCTGCTCCCAGTCACCTGGGGTCGGCGCAACATGTTTTCTCCTTCCATACTCTTCTATCATATACCATTTCTTCGCTCACTCCCCTCCTACCCATATCGTCTTTCACACAATCCATCCATTTCTTCTTAGGTCTACCTCTTCCTCTAAATCCTTCTACATTCATAGTTAACACTCTCTTAACAACCTCATTTTCATTTCGTCTCATCACATGTCCATACCATCCCAAACGTGCACTCCTCAGCTTCTCTGTCACAGGTGCCACTTTCAGACTTCCTCTAACATATTCATTCCGTATTCTATCCATTCTCGTTACTCCACACATCCATCGCAACATTCGCATCTCTGCTGCATGCAATCGCCTTNTCATGACGATGAGTATAGCTGATACTCGTATGCTTGTATGTACAAGAGATCTGTCGATACGCGTGATCGAATTTTTAAAATTTCATTGCATTTATGTTCTCTTTAGTTTCTTTAGTGTCAAATAAATTAAACTCTACTTTAAACTCTTTAACAATGACAGTAGTAAATAATAAGTGACAAATTATAAGATTGCCTCTCATTAGGGATACAAAGTGATATATACATACGGGTACTTATATGAGGATAAACAGGCAAATGTATAAATATTATACACTTAGACATATCATCATCATCATCATCATTATCCTGCCCTGCTCCCAGTCACCTGGGGTCGGCGCAACATGTTTTCTCCTTCCATACTCTTCTATCATATACCATTTCTTCGCTCACTCCCCTCCTACCCATATCGTCTTTCACACAATCCATCCATTTCTTCTTAGGTCTACCTCTTCCTCTAAATCCTTCTACATTCATAGTTAACACTCTCTTAACAACCTCATTTTCATTTCGTCTCATCACATGTCCATACCATCCCAAACGTGCACTCCTCAGCTTCTCTGTCACAGGTGCCACTTTCAGACTTCCTCTAACATATTCATTCCGTATTCTATCCATTCTCGTTACTCCACACATCCATCGCAACATTCGCATCTCTGCTGCATGCAATCGCCTTTCATCCTTTATACACTTAGACACTGAGCGAAAAGATAATCACTGATATTGATAATCGTTTTGTTTATTTGTTTAAATAAAATACTGTTTATTCATTTAAGAAAAAAAAAACGATTAAAGTTAGATGCAATCTTTACTAAAGCGATCTTTCATCTAATCGTGTCCCAGAAATTATCAATTCTAAAATACAATATATCGGTTTTTCCTGAAAATGTTTACTTCTCTATCTTTTATTATATTATTACAGAATGTTTATTTAAAGCATGAGAATTTAATTTTTTTCCCATTAAATTAATGCTTAGTACAATGGAAAGCAATATAGCACATAGAAAACTCACAAAACATTTCAAGCGGGTCTTACTAAGGCTGAGGTTAGGGCCATTTTATCCTAACACCATTTGAATGAAATAAAAAATAAAAACTAAGAAGTAGGCAATTATCGCGGAATCTTATTAATTCGTTTAGGATTAAAACCATACTTAATTGCGGTAAAGACCTTGATTCAATTTTATATTCTGCTAAAAATCTGCTTTTATCCGCGCTCGATATTTTATGCGGACAAATTAAGCTTCGTTTTAATCCTAAGTAAAGTATTTCATTGAGTCCTGAGTAGTAAAAAGATGTGTGGTGTCGTGGGACACCGGATAGGAACGAAGTTCCTTATTATAAAAATATTAATTTTAAGTTCTATTCGAAGTATAAAGAAAATAAAACTGGAGGTTTCGCAACAACCCACGGTCATTCGGTAACTTACGAACTTATTGTGGTACACTTCATTCACGGTTGTTTGCATGAGTTAGTCTATTGCGCAAACGAACGCTCTGAGATCGTGGTCAATGAATGATAAAAAATATGTTATTTTTTGTACGTTATTACAAAGTTCAGTCGTACACTGTGTGCATTACTAACAAAAATCTTACGTTACGGACGTTTTTTCCCAGTTAGGGTACCCCTCCGCATCTTCCCATAAGGAACTTCGTTCCAAAATTTACTGATGACTCAGGACCTTTCTACTGGTTATCATCAAATGGTGATAGAATATATAATAACTGGTAACATCGACACACCTAAACACCAGGGTTGGGGCCGACTGCTGACGCGCCACTGCCGGTCTAAAATAAAACACGACGTCAATGGGACAAAATCAAGCAATATTTCGAGGAATACGACAACACAGCAAACCATATTGTTGATGTCATTGATGTATATTGATGACATGACGGACCGACTATCCACAAACAATTGTCGAGTTTTTAAATTTTGCAGATAGCCAGTCCTTGCTAAATAAGTATGTATGGATATTATTAAGGCCGTACCTGAAGATATTCAAAATTTTATAATAACTATAACTTAAAACTTAAAATATTTGAAAACGTATGTACTTTTTCATTGAAAAAACAACATTTTTTATGTAATTGATTAATGTTGTTTAAGCAAATATTGCAGCTAGAAAATGAGGAATTTTCAATTAAATTAAATAAATTACAAACATTTACGGAGAAACAAAATAATTACGACCTTACAAAATAAATTAGCTTTTGATGTACAGGCTATAAATATAGATTGCTAACAAGGTTCACCCAGAAGTACACATGCTTAAGGGCTGGTACAGAAGACGGAATTAAGGATCAGACGAAGACAATCACAAAGACAATAACACAGGGGATAAAGACGGCAAAATGGACTAGGTTCCACGTCTAAACTAAAACGCATCTAATCAAAATTCTATACTACAAAAGAATGAGCTACGCAATAAACATTTAAAGTAGAAAGATAAAACAAATAAATAAAACTAGTTTACTTGTGTAGCTCATTCTCTAGATGACATTTAAACAATGTACCATAAGTTGAAAACCCAAAACTTTAAATTACCAGTCCGAAAGCATTTTATTTACGGAGCTGGTCGTTTCGCAAAATAACTGTTTGAAGGAATATATTATGAACTAAACTAAACAAGAGGACAGGAAAGTTAGACAGTAGTGAACTGAAGCTTCAAAAAGAACAGAAAGACCTAATCGCACAGATTAGACAGAGGAGGGAGGCGCGACTACTTGGCCAATGTCGGTGGTGTTGTAACGGTATTAACTTTGCGTCGTTCGATTTCTCTACCGAGCATCGGGCCCAGCAGGGGGTGCGCAGGCGCCGCATGTGGAGCGTGGCCTGCTGCGCTCGTGGCTGCTCAGCTACTCGCCTATCCCTGCGTTAGACACAATAACTGGCGACGCGACGATCGCCGGCTCTCATTAATAAACACTATTCATAAACATTACCGGCACCAAGTTTCCTATCTTTATTTAACAAGGATATGCCGTAAAGAAAGAAGGTATAGAGTGTAAGGAATGCTGGAGTATTTTGAAGTCATTAAAATAATTCTAAAAAAAAATGCTAACAATGCGAGTAAATTGCAAAATAATATTGTTATTGTGTGTTTTCCTTGTTAAGGATCTATTTTAGGATTTTGTTGGCCCTCTTTTCGATAAAACATTTCGAAGCTGAACAAACCTCCCACGATTGTTTTCAATCTAATTATTTGTTTTAAGATTTATTTAGATTTATTTATTTATTTTGTTTACATTAAATAGATTTGCTTTTAATGTTTGTTTCTTTTTCCAGCGACCGTTAATCTCAACATACAAAACATCTATTTTAAATATTGAAGTTGTTGTGGCCTAAAGCGTAAGGCGGTATTTGTATCGAGCGATGCGATTATGCTCATATTTAAATTCATACGGAATTGGCAGGCACCAATTTTTCTAATCGAATAGTTACATACATATCACGCTCATATGGATAAATTACTTCGACGATCAAGGAAGTAAACGTAGTGTAATAAAAATGAAAGCCTAAAATATTTTTGTATTATAATTTGGATGATTATTAGCGGGAGTGATATTATAAGATCAAACGGGCAGGTGAACCAGTTATGCGTCCGATTTGAAGGGTTGGGAGAACCGTTATTAGTATACAATTGAGCCTCATAATATCTCCAGATTCCTGGCAGCATTGACATTATGGCTATGGGTTCCATTGTTTTGCATACATACCACATATCGCGCAGTGCGTACTTAAAATTTATCTTTAAGGACCAGTACATGCTTATGGATTATTATAATATTTAGATGAAAAACACGAGGAGTTTTGCAATTAATTTAGATTATTTATTTGCGTTGTATCGCAAAGCCCCATTGAACATAATCTCACGAATTAATTAATGAACACCGGCGTAAAGCTGAAAATCATATTACGATGTCGGAATCAAATCGGATTTAACTGAAATTACTTAACAAAGATTCGTTGTTTAAAATAGAAAAAAAAATTGATAAAAAATATTTGTTCTATTATTTAAGTTATTAAGTACACTTATTAAGTATCTATGTATTTTCTTCGAAAACTAGGAAACTACTAACAGAATTTAAACCATCACATTGCCTCATCCGTGATGTGAGAAAACGCCCTTGATGTAGGGATGGTACTGAAGAAACCTCCAGAACATCTGTAAGATAATTATTTGCATTAACAACTCCATTATTAAGGACTTGAGCTGTTAAACCATGGCTTGTTGTGCTCACGTCAAAGAGTCACGTTGTCAAAGAGACCTCTCAACCTAATACAGTCCGATACTGTTTTGAACCTTCAGCAGCCATAATTGGCAACAAAGTGTAGCGAAATCAGTATGACGAGGAGTCCATTCAGGACGAGTACGTGTGTACCACCAATGTAAACACGGCCATTTTGACAATTTTATCCTAATATCACAAACTGTCGAAGCTAAGGCATAAAATCTGCATGTGACATGATAAAACTGCGCCATTAATCAGCACACTAAATGTAGTATTTAGAGAAATATTCGTCCAAAATCGTTACTGGGTTCGTAAGGTTTTTTAAAGGAAAATATTTTTCCTCTAAACCGTAAACAACAAACATGTTGTATTATTACAATTAGAGTGATTCCCGGTAATATTTCGAGGTCTTTCCGCGGAACGCCAACGTTGCCTTCCACTAATTAACCTGGATCCCTTATTTTGGGCCCACGATTAAGGTTTCCTTAATTTGCGTTTCCCTTAGAGCTTCGTACTAAAATTGCTCTCGTTTCGCGACAACGACTTTCATCTTTTATGTTGAGCTTTTTTCCTTGAAGACCTCCGTAATTGATGTTATTAGGAGTGAAAAGATATTTTTTTTTTTAGTATCAGGTTGTAAATTGAGATTGTCTTGAATAATAGGGATGATTCCTGTAACTTATTTTGTATTTTTTTTTACGAGACTATAATTCTCAATATTAAAGCCATAAAATCAAACAATTCAATTTTGTGATTCGTTCTGATGAAATATTGAGTCTGCGTCCTTATCTAGACTACGATTTATTAAAGTTATTTTTCTAAAAAAATATAAATTTATCAGAAATTTATACAGAAGCTTCTTTGCAAAATCACAGTATTACATCAGACTTCATGTGACCGATGTCTAGAATTATTGTTGCTAACACTTGCCCAAATTCGATCATGATAGCTGATACCTGAACATTTGCTTTCTTATTGACATTTCAAAAATATACTAGTTAGCCTATTTCTAGCTATTTATTGAGAGCACTGAAGCTCGATAGTACCAAACTAAACAAACGAAAATAAACTTGGTCGACAAGCAAGGAGAAAATAATACTTTATTGTTTGTCTTGATTTGTAAAAATAAATAGATCAAAAAGAAATTCACTTCAAGTTTCTGTTGGCCGTATTTAGACTTTTTGGATATCTTTCTCGCAGTGCCTCCACCTCAATGGCAATGACTTCATGAACCATTCTATCCTACATTTTATTTATTGACAATAATCCAGATACAAAAGGTTTTTAAATTCAGTCGTTTATATTCAAATTAAAAATTATTCGGTAAATTTTGAATTCATTATAATCCTTGCATTCTTATCGTTTGTTTTTTCCCGGGACTTATCGTGACATCCAAACTCAAGGCGCTGATATAACTTGTTTACATTACGCAAATCATCCAATGACACTACATTTGAAGGAGGCTTTTCCAGTTTCATCAGGGCAGTTTATCGACATCTTAATTTGCAATTTGCTCGTAGATATTAATTAAATGACTAGTTCAGTATTTCATTACCGAAAAACTACAGTTTTTTTTTGTTTTTCACAAGGCAACCCAACACGTACCAATAAATTCGCCTCGCGCATTACAATGCCCCAGCATTCCGTCACAATGAAACGAGAAACAAAGAATGGAAACCCAACAAAATAAGTATTAGTTGAAAGCAATCTAAATGCTTTTAAAAGGGCAACGGTGAAAAAGAAATAGATGGTATTAAAGGACTTGAGAGTAAAATTTATGGTCACGACGTAAACAGTACTTAAACTGCTACAAATCTGAAACATAAAAATTGTGAGAGGCTTTTTTCATTTCTTAACAGTTTCTTGTAACGGAGAACGCTTCGCGAATTTTAATATTGTTTTCGACTTAGTTTTTGCGGCTTATCATAATTTAGCCAATTTACGAACCGATAAAAACATAAATCATTCTAAGGCAAGTAAGGAGAATACAATTTATTTTATACATAGATTCGCCCTGGAGTTTCGTGTACCATTATAATTATTTGAAAATATGTATCGGATAGACATATTAATCGGTTCGGACAGTAAAATTTTAAATTTTGTAGCCTTTAAAATTTTCTAATTAATTTAATAAAATATCTTACTGACTAAATCGTACGTACTTGGTCTCATCTATGTAGACAGCTTCAAGCACTTTTGCAGCATACTGTAGGTTCTTTTGTAAAGTCTCTGCAGAAATTTCACCTCGGTTTAACTGTCTTAATAGATAGCGTAATCTGTGAACAAAACGAAACACCTTTAGTAGAATTAATTTAATAATAAAAAATAACACCACACAAGTAATAAATTCGGAATATTTGCAAGATTCGACGCAGATTTTACCCAAGTACCTAACTTGATACATTATTAAGTTATTGTATAGCACATTTTGCTGTGTTATTTATGTCTTAAAATTAGAGTCGGGTGCTCTATGATCGGAATACGGTCGATTCATTTCATGTATTTAGAATTTGTTTTATAATTGACAGGAAACAAATTAAACCCACCCCTCAAATAGGAGTGCATAGCTGCTTCGCTACAAAAATAGGCAATATGGTGCTAACTAGTCTTGTAGGTTTGGCTATTTACGCTTATAAAATGCTGCTGACTATACACTGGTGGGTCCCTTGAGTCACCTTTCGCCCTCACGGAAAGAGATAGATAGAGTGGTGCTATTCAGATTTTATGCTTATTCTATCAAGGTACTTTAGATTCAATTTTTTAACTAGTTGCCCGTCACAAACCGTAAGCTACAAGTACTAACTACACCAGAAATGACCCCTAAATATTTGTCAACAGTTGTAGAAAATTTGATTTAAGTCAGATAAAACGTAAAAAAAACATGCCTGTGTTTATATTATACATTCTGATTCAAATGATGCCAATGCAATTGTGGGTCGATTTTATGGTTCAAGATAAGTGCCGGCATCCATGTTGTGATGGATCTGGTTTATTGTAGCAGTTTGATATCATTAGGACACTAAGTCGCATGTTTATTTCAGTCAATAAAAATATGTTAAAATAAAATATGCAAAAGATATAGTTCAGCTGTGACCCAGACCCGTCGCGTTCCATTCTAAAGAAAAAAACTCAATTCTTGCGAAGCCATAATTTAATTGACCCGAAATAAAATGATTGTGCGGATTGGTAGTTAGGTATAAACGGATAAAAGTTATCCGATATTGGGCTGTGTTGCCATTTAGGAATCATTGGAAAGTTGCAGGAATCTTTGGAAAATAAATTTTTAATCGTGAAGTATTTGACTGGGATTGCTAGTGTATTCGTGTCAGTCGTAAGTGCCTTTGAATCAAAGTAATAGTTGTAGACGATTTCTCATGGCAGCAAAATTAGTAATTAGTTTTTGAAACATAATATACATAATATATAATGTATGTGTTATTGTTTAAGTGGGTGTACAAGTGTCGATATTGAAGCAATTGGGCATCAAAATCAGACTGTCTACTGTATGTCTGAAGCGGATCCTCGAATATTTTGGTCACATTGCGAGGAAAGACGGCGATAACCTGGAAAAACTTATGATCACAGGGAAAGTTGAAGGCAACAGATCTAGAGGCCGCAACCCGACTCGTTGGTCCGATCAGATCCGCACCGCTTTGGACAGTACAGTGTACAGCGCGCTGCATGACGCCGTGGACAGGGGAAAGTGGAAAAACATCTTAAAACTGAAGCTCATGGGTGGTGGTGGTCACGACCCTCAGACATGAGGAACACGATTCGAGGAGGAGAGGAGGGTGTACAAGCTGCTTGCTTTTTGAGTAGCTAAGCCACAAATTACAATAAAATCATGGATAGTGAGACTTTTATATATATAATTAAACTGGTAAATTTTTCAAGAAATATAAACTAGTAACGATATTTTCTTGGTACTTCCTGTATGTAGAATGTTTGGAAATTTTTAAATATCTTATTTAGTTTTGGATTAGCTTATTACTTTAGTTAATTTTAAAAGGCGATAGTTTTTCGTTTTTTCTCTTTAAGCTGGTAACACTTTCTATTGGTGCGGGTAGCTTTCGGCCCTCGTCGAAATTGGGTTGAAAACCTAAATGCTTTACACGAGCTTCGGAGAGATTTTAGCAAGCGAAAATTGGACTATTTCGACTTGTAAGGGCTGTTAGAGCTGTTGATAAATCTCGTCTACGCTTTTTTTGGTTTCAATGTTTTTCTGTTTTTTTTTTATTTTTTATTGCTTAGATGGGTGGACGAGCTCACAGCCCACCTGGTGTTAAGTGGTTACTGGAGCCCATAGACATCCACAACGTAAGTGCGCCACCCACCTTGAGATACAAGTTCTAATTTTACCTAAATTTTACCGTTGTGAAAAGCTGAAAATATCATAGGTACTTTAATATAATTTATCATTTAGATCATGAACTCTCGTCTAGACGCGGTCGCGGGGGAAACGTCTTGAGAAAACGATATTTATCTGCAAACATCTCTTGAATTGTTTATTTGAATAGGAAAAATACATTTACTATTAAAATTAGCTGGTAAAGTTAAGATACGATATTATTTTGAATCTTATAGCTTCAATATAGATTTTTAATCAAATTGCTAAATCGTGGATTTAAATATGATCTTACAAGGTAAGTAAATTATTTATTAATATGTAAATTAAAACCAATATCTAATTTTACTGCACTGTATACATATATCCTCAGTGCAATCACCGCTGGGTCTAAACTCTTCGTAGTATTGAATTAATTGGATGTGAAACTGTAACAGAGTCAGTCGATCGTACACAACCGCTGTAGAATATACATATGTATGTATGTTAGACGTTTGATTGGTACTGGTTATTGTATCGTCAATAAACACTTTGGTAGATTCGGAAGCGTATAGTATTTTGTATCAACGATAACGTAGTTTAGATATTTATTTATTTTCAAAACCAAATTGGTGTGTAAAAATCTATGATTATACGCGCAACGAAAGGTCATCAAAAGTCACCAAAAGAACATTCATTAACAAAGTCAAAACCGTTAAATTAGCTTTATATAAGTGTTGATGGTAAGCGGTATGTAGTAAACACAAAACTGTGTTTTTTAAAATGGCTAATCGCTGTCGCAAAACAGTCTTGCGGTCTGGTTTGGATTGTGGGATAGAGGCTAAACTGTATATATATATATTGTACTAATAAAGTTTACTTACAAATTTACTACAGATATACAGATTGTACTATGTTTTTGTTTCTTGCGACATTCCATAATTGTTCTTTGAAGTCGTCGTGGCCTAAAGAATAAGACGTCCGGTGCACTCGTGTTGAGAGATGCACCGGTGTTCGAATCTCAGGCGGGTACCAATTTTTCTAATGAAATACGTACTCAACAAATGTTCACGATTGACTTCCACGGTGAAGGAATAACATCGTTTAATAAAAATGAAACCCGCAAAATTATAATTTGCGTAATTACTGGTGGTAGGACCTCTTGTGAGTCCGCGCGCGGATAGGTACCACCGCCCTGCCTATTTCTGCCGTGAAGCAGTAATGCGTTTCGGTTTGAAGGGTGGGGCAGCCGTTGTAACTATACTGAGACCTTAGAACTTCTCAAGGTGGGTGACGCATTTACGTTGTAGATGTCTATGGGCTCCAGTAACCACTTAACACCAGATGGGCTGTGAGCACGTCCACCCATCTAAGCAATAAAAAAAAAACGATATTAAATTTAAAGTAAATGATTTTGAATTTGAGTTGTGACTTTCATTCGTGTCACAAAGTGGCCAACGACACTTTGTCAGTTTTTTTCTTATTATATTTTATTTTTTTATTGCTTAGGCGGGTGGGCGAGCTTATGACCCGCCTGGTGTTAAATGGTTTAAGTCTTAGTTTTAACAGTAGTATGTTTATGTACACCCGTAATAATTTCAAACCCGACTGGCTATTTATTACTTGTGCTAGTAGATGTTGGCTCGTAAAAATGTATCGATAATCGTTCAGAATATTTATTTGAAATTCTCAGGGAAATTGGATTCAATATTTGTATGTTGCTCTCTAAATTTATTTTCTCATTTATTCCGCAAGAGATTTTTTATTCTTATTGGCTTATACAAAGCGAACCGTTTCCAAGAAAGGCTGACGTTGGGTGTTTGAAAAACGTCGTTAGATTGTTACAGTAAAGTGATGTTGAAAATCGAAAAGAAAAGAAGAAAAAAAAAACTCGACTAATATAAACTTTATTAATTACGTTTTTACGTAATTTGAATTCTTTTCAAAGAATGCGTAATCAGTTTTCGGAATCTTATTAAATTTGTTAATTAAATATTTTTAGGGTATTTTCTTTTTTCCAAGTAACTTTCACGTTTCTGAGTAAAGAGAGAATCGTTCAAAAGTGTTAATTTTTAATGGTCTTAAGTGGATGTCAACGAACGGTGGTTATTTCGTTTTTAATGAGAATTTTAATAATTTTAATGATAGATTGATGAGGTGTAATGTAAGTATGTAAATGTAGATACCACCATCTATTTCTGCCGTGAAGCAGTAATGTCTTTCGGTTTGAAGGGTGGCGTAAAACTTTTGTACTATAAAACTGAGACTTAGGACTCATGTCTCAAGATGGGTGCCGGCGTTTACGTTGTTGATGTCTACGGGCTCTGGTAACCATTTAACACCAGTTGGCTGTGAGCTCGTACACTGATCTAAGTAATAAAAAAAAAAGTGTGGTGTCGTGGGACACCGGATAGGAACGAAGTTCCTTATTATAAAAATATTTTAAATTCTATTCGAGGTATAAAGAAAACAAAACTGGAGGTTTCGCAACAACCCATGGTCATTCGGTAACGTGCGAACTTATTGTGGTACACTTCATTCACGGTTGTTTCCATAAGAGTTAGTGTATTGCGCAAATGAACGCTCCGAGATCGTGGTCAATGAATGATAAAAAAATATGTTATTTTTTGTACGTTATTACAAAGTTAAGTCGTACACTGTGTGCATTACTAATAAAAATCTTACGTTACTGACGTTTTTTCCCTTCCGCATCGTCCCATAAGGAACTTCGTTATAAAAAAACTCATGTCTTACGGTAGATAGCGGTATTAGATTAGTATTTGAGCTTCGGTAACCACTCAAAACCAGATGGGTTTTGAGTTCGTTCCCTCAACTATGAAATTAAAATTATGAAAAAAAAAAGTCTGAAATCTCCACTCTTCGGTGTAAGTACAGTCAAATATGTCCTTCAAATGAGATTTTCTACATATAATGGTTCTTAGCAGATAAAGGCAAATGGCGTGGAATGGTCTGCAATAAACTCTTGTTGCGAGGAGGTAGTCATGACCCTCAGTGTTGAGGAAACCGAAGCAAGAAGAAGAAGCAGCTGTGCCTTTTACGGTTTTCTTGAGTGAAATTAACCGATGATAATGTTTCTGGTCCCTATTAGTTTCGTCTATAGCCACTTACTAAGTATTTTTATTTGCAAGAATACACAGGCAATACGCAAGCAGACCTTACACTTCCGAACATGTGATATAATATTTGATATTAGTATAAACGGCTTACAGAATTCCGTGGATCCTAAACAAACACGAGCCGAAATTTCTTAGCTTTTGTCGTAAGATTTGTAGTAAAAAACGGTTGTTGTACTCGGATTTATCAGACGTAAGTGAATAAGAAAATAATAAAAATGTTAGGAATTCATTAAGCGCAATCATAATGTTGTTTGTAAACATTGGTTGTCTTTTTATATAAAAAACTTTTATATCGAGGCTTTTTTTTTCTTACATGGGTGGACGAGCTCACAGCCCACCTGGTGTTAAGTGGTTACTGGAGCCCATAGACATCTACAACGTAAATGCGCCACCCACCTTGAGATATAAGTTCTAAGATCTCAGTATAGTTACAACGGCTGCCCCACCCTTCCAACCGAAACGCATTACTGCTTCACGGCAGAAGTAGGCAGGGCGGTGGTACCTACCCGTGCGGACTCACAAGAGGTCATATCACCAGTAATTACGCAAATGATATTTTTGCGGGTTTCATTTTTATTACACGATGTTATTCCTTCACCGTGGAAGTCGATCGTGAAAATACGTATTTAGAAAAATTGGTACCCGCCTGCGGGATTCGAACACCGGTGCATCGCTAGATACGAGTGCACCGGACGTCTTATCCTTTAGGCCACGACGACTTCAAGTCGAAGATCGGCCATCAAAGCTGCGGCGTTTGACTAGTTTTATATATTTAAAACAATCACCTCAGTGCGGCCTTATCGCAAGCGTCGGGCGTGTCGACGGCGGGCAAGTGTTCAGTTTCTAGATCGAGCTGGTCGAGTTGTTCGTCAGTAGGAGTGGAGCAGCTCTCGGTCTTACTCCGGCTTGAAGAACGGCGGACGATTGTCAGCGCGCCTTGCTCTGTGGACAAATAGAATACGTTAAGGCGTTGTCTTACCTCGAGACGGACGTAGCGTATTGTTTATGATTTACAAGAATGAGCGAAATTATAAAAGTGCAAAAACATATTATTGCAGGTAAAGAAGAAAATGGACACTAGTGTATATGGTACACGAATGGAATTACAAAAATTCTGTTGTTTCAGAAATAAAAAAGAAAGGAAAGAAAAAGAAAGGAAATTTGTACTTTTAAAAACAGCGGCCTATTTTTTTTGGGAAAACAAGAGATTTGTTGTCAAAATAATAAATAAAAGAACGACGTTTATATGACTGGATTATTTGTTTTATAACCAAATTATTTTAAAATTGATTTACACCAGGGGTTCTCAAACTTATTTTATGTACTGCCCACTTTGGCAATAAATTACTTTTTAACGCCTCCATTTTTTCGCCTACTTAAAAATCACTATAGCAAGAGCTCAGTCGGTGTCTAAAAGTCCTCCTAGATGAAATTACAAATCGCCTCCCAAGCCTCTACGCAACGCCCCCATTATTTTCTGGGTCTCTTACTGCCCTCCTTTAGGCCTAGAGCGCCCACAAGGGGGCGATATCGCCCACTTTGGGAAAGGCTGATTGACACGAACATAAAATTCACTCCAATTTGTATTACTTCAGGCATCATGAAATATTATTTTCGATTTTCCACTTTATACCAAGGCAAAGTTTAGGCAAGAGCGCAAACTTCCAATCGTATTTAAGCTGTTCCTCAATATTGAATACGAAGTTGTTTGTAGTTGCGTTTGTATTTATATAAAATAAGGTCACGACTATATCACCACTTAGAGAACTTGCTAACACTTGCCGTAGCAAGAGCAGTCCTTCTTTGAATCAGCCACCGCATCGGAATCCTGAATCACTGAGAAGATCCGGTGAGAAACTCAGTGCGTTGTGCAGGTTTCATGTCGAACTAGAGTGATAGATCACTGTCAAGTATTTTTTTTTACAAAGCAAAGTTGACGACAGCGTTGTGTATCGTAAACGTGACGTCATTTGGCGCTTACGTCTGTTTAGAATAAAACGAAATTCAAACCAAATTCATGAATGAAAACTATCGAATTTCCAAAAAAATTATAATATGGGTCTGTTTATTTTGAATCTAGTATCAATTAAGATAATAATATGCGTATGTTAAAAAAAAGGAAATGTTTTCAATTGTAGTCGCCGCATTCGACGAGTTTGACGAAAACTGTGACCGGTGCTTGGAGTGCCAGATCCGACCCTTAACAACAAGATTCATCAGTAATGCAGAAGGACACTAAGGTATGCAGCCCTTATTTAACCGACGTATTACAATGCTATTGCTATTGGCAGATAATGCTAATTATTTTAAGAAAAAAACTCAAAACAAATAGTTCGATTGGGTAGCCAATGGCATTTTATAGTTTTAAGAATTCCAGTTTCGCGAACTTTTCTTACAAATGAACTGTCACAAATTAATTACAACTTACAAATGAACTGGCACAAATTAATTACAACTTACAAATGAACTGCCACAAATTAATTACAACTAACAAATGAACTGTCACAAATTAATTGATAGGCGAAAAATCGACATTGCCTTTTTCAAAATTTTCCTTACACAAATATGTATGTTTCTGCATGAAGAAAGTCGACTGTATAATATCACGTTTAATATTTAAAAAAAAAAAAACTAGAGTACGCCTACTACATTTGAATCTGAACTGAATTAACGGTACCCCTTTATCGCTGGAGCCATTGGATTTGCCTTTGAATAGGCTGAAATGAAATAACCCTGATTCAGTAAAAGCGTTTGAAGGGGAATTTAAATATTCGTTGCATTTTTTGCAATGAAAAATCCTTCATGGCGCGCCGGTGTTTTTGACAGAGGTTGTTTGTGTTCAATGCTGGAAATCCAGATATATCATAATGGTTTTTCTTTAAAAGCAAACGGTTTGTAGGTGACATTCTCGCAACTTAAACATTAATTGATCAAAGTAAAATTAACGTCACAATTTTTCATAAAATTGAAACGACTGAACCTTGCCTTTCTTCTGATGTAGTTTGAAAAAGTAAAATAGCGACCACACTAACATTGTCAATGACAACGTTACTGATGATGATCATGTAGGTAGTAACTTCGCCTATCTTTGAAGGAAAACGGTCGGTCAATAGCACGGTATAACTTCGAATTCAATGTGTCTTTTTGTATTATTTTTTTCTTTTTTTTTATTGCCCTTGTAGGCAGACGAGCATACGGCCCACCTGATGGTGTGTGGTTACCGTCGCCCATGGACTTCAGCAATGCCAAGGGCAGAGCCAAGCCGTTGCCTACCGCACCGACTTATCTAGTAAGCGATATAAACTCATGATTTGTAAAAAAGATATTCGAAATGAAGCACAATACGCGATTTTAATTTTGATTTATCCCTAGAATTTTCACGTTTCGCTATTTGTAATTACGTATGAGTGTTTGAGAGTGTGCTCTGCCGATACCGATGAAAGGTCAAAAGAAAATCAGTTTTTAGTTTGGTACGTATGTGGCGAAAATTGTCAATATCCTTAATTAAATGTGTAGCAGAAAACCCATTCCACTGGTCTAATTTAGCAAATTTCCGACCAACCTGGCCTTACACGACGTTAACCAAACCTAATAGCTAAGATCGTGTAGATTAATGCATTGTTATTACTGTATATGCACTGATCAGCTCACACGAAGTACATTAACGAGAAATTATGGAAGCAGCGTCTAAGCAATGCCTATTGAAATTGATTGTGGTATGGAGGTCAGTTGCTGCTAATTACTAGCTCGTTTGCGTGTGACATAAAACTTTCACTTACAAGACGCACGGAAGGGCTAGTCTCAGCGAATCGCATAAAATAAATGAAACAGAAACATCCCCAAATTAAATAATACATAAACTGCCGAATTCTAAATTCAATTGTAACAGATTTTTTTCTTTAGGAACAATCAAAATTCTTTTCAATTTAAGTACCTAAAAAGCAGATTTTTTGAAGTGAAACTTCTTTAGGCGTGTTGAGAGTAAAATTTAACTCGCGACAGATTCGTTACAGCTAGAGAGAAAAGATGTAATTTAGGAAGAGCGAGAGTGAGAAAATAGACAGAGCGTCTCGCGAACCATTCGACCGTGGAGAGAGGAAAAGGACAAAGCGAGCTAGGTCGTTTCTCTTACACATACCTTATTATAAGAGAAATTTGATTTAAGGATGAAAAATAAAGAAAACCACAATACTACACACCGCAAAAGAAATTTCACTTCTCTCACGTACACCACGTTGCACGCGCACAATTTTTTTTAAACCCTTTCCGTTTATTTCCGAAAACAGTCGCCGCTTAATCGAAGAAAAAAAATATTACAGTATTTTTATAATGGCGCGTAATTTAATTTCTAATTTATCCGGACAAGTTAGTGCACCATCCATGAGGCGCTAACCGTTATACGGCTCTACGTTACTGACACTGTCTAACATAAAACCCGAGGAGGAGCTAAGTATTAGCTGTTATTTCATTGGATAATAAAAGTGAAGGATTGTTTTTAATATCCTACAAACCAGACGGCTTGTAATTAAAATGGATAATATGGCACATACGAAGCCGATTAAATATATCCTATATTGAAGATCTCCTTGCGTTGCTTTCCTCATTACTGAAGGTCCTGACGTCCCCCTCTGCATCATTCTCTCATGCATAATTTCCCTTCATATGCTACGGATCCTTGGCCATGTTGACCATCTCGAGGGACTGTGTTCTATGGGGCGTTTGGCCTCTGTCTTGCACGTAACCATCAGCTTCGAGGTTATGATCCTATTTTCGAGTAATGTGTCCAAAGAACTCATATTGAAGATAGTCACATGCAAAGCAATATGACTGCGCTTTGTGATCTTATAGCGCTGAGTTTTCCCTATGCAGACAAATTTCTTCTAGTTCTAGAGAAACTTATTATATTATGTATGTACTAATTTTAAAAGTACATGCTGTATTGCGATGATAACTTTTAGGATAATTTTTCTTCTTCTCAGTCGTACACTCCTGGTGGAGTGGTGGTGGCTATATATGTCTTATTGCTTGGTTGCGGCTTTTGAGAGACTTCTCCATCTCTCTCTATTTGTGGCGGTACGTGTACATTCAGTAAGGGAACACTTAGTGGATGACTTAATCAAGTCTTGTGGGTGATCAGCACCGAGACCGTTGACCGTCTACTCTTCCTTGAACCATTCATCGTTCCAATGAGCTTTCATTGCAGATGAACGGAAGGCTTAGGATAATAAGGCGGTGTTATTATTTTGAATTCTGCGGTAAAATATCCCTCGATATTCCTCCCGAGTTGCATCGTCTTTGACTTTACAATTGTGAACTAGCGTAATCGTAACTTGCACCATTAAAGTTTTCCTAAAGTGGTACCTGTACGCGACGAGTTAAGTCGATATGCTGAGCAGCGTGCAATGAATTCACAAGCGCGGTCTAAATGCTATGCTCCCTAACCCACGTTAGGAAAATACGTAATGCGTTAGTGTCGCATGTAAATTGCGCTGCGAACGTTGAGTGTAGAGCCATGTTGGGTTGGTCTGGCACATTCCCGCCACCTGCAGTCCTTTTCTCCCGTACTGGGAATTGCAAATTAATGTAGCATGGCCTGCGTTTGATAGCGTTGCACGTGACAAGTGTGTTACAGTCTGCTTTCATTCGAATTTAATAGTTCAGACGTCTTGATGTCTGTGTGCGGCTTATCTGTAATCTGAATTGGAAAATCGTTGGAAGTACTCGATAATTTTATCAACAGGTCCAAGCTATTGAGACTTAGAAGAAGCGTAAATTTTATTGAAAAATTGTTTGATAATTGATTCAGAGTTGAGAGATGGTTAAATAATAAACCGGGTAAACCAGAGTAAAATTGAAAGTTATTACGTGAAATGTTATAATGTATCAAAAGAAACTACCAACCTGCCCATTTCTGCCGTGAAACAGTATAGCGTTTCGGATTG